GCTGAGAGAGGGGTTGACAGAAGGATTCTTAGTGAACTGTTTGGTGCCCAAATTCATGATGGCATTTAAGGCTGCTGAAGAAACAGGAATAATTGGAAATGAGAAGAGAAAGAAAGGCACAGTTTAGCTGTGGAAGTGAAAAGGAAGTCAAAATATGCAAAGTAGTGGCTCATCATGATTTGAAAAAGAGTTGTTGGTAAGGAAAGAGTACTTTGCCTAATGAGCACTACCGTATATCTTATTTAGATGTGCTGCACTGACCAATCCTTGTGGTAGGTTCCCACTAGCATCTTGGCCTTTTTGCCTGAAATGAAATGGTGCATTTTTAGCACTAAGGGGAGGGTGTCAAGGCTGACTGTGGTCCTCCTGGTGCCAGCCTGGTATGGCAGTACCTCTGGGCCCAGTGCCAGTTCCTTGCAGAGGGAACACCTACTTGTTTTTTTGTTTTTTGTTTTGTTTTTTAGGTGTCAAATGTGCACACACAAAGACAAGGTTCCCATCAATATGTTTGCTTAGTGCAGGCCATGTGTTTTATAGTCATGCTTAGTGTTGGCTGCATTTAATCAACTTGATGTTTGGTTTCCATTGCTGACGCATGGTAATTCTGGCAGCAGTGTAATTAACTGGGACATCTGCTATGGCCACTGGGACAAGAGGTGCTGGTGGTGCAGCTACAAGGCAGAGACCCACCCCCACATGCTGTGCACCTGCAGGCCCTACACCAGAGCCTGGCAGCTCCACCACAATGCTGTCCAGGACCACCTGGCAAAGGCCGTCCCAGCCACAGCGGGGAGATTTCCATGAACCATGCCACCCTGGGCTGTGAGAGCCAGATGCGCCCTATCATCATCACCAACGAGGAGGCCAAGAAGGTTGTGATAGTGGATGTGACCATTCCCTTCGAGAACTGGCACCAAGCCTTCACTGACATCCGGGCTCGCAAGCGGGAGAAGTACACTTCACTGGCCAACGTCCAGAGGAGCTGTGGCTACAACATGATGGTCAATGCGCTCGGTGTGGGAGTGCTCAGAGCTTATGACCCCAGCAGCAAGAGCATCCTACATGCCTGCTGCATCTCTTGCTGCTGCGCCAAACTGATGCGGTGGCTTATGGTGTCTGATGCCATCCACTGGTCCCGCAACATCTACGTCAAACATGTCATGGGCCAGCGCCAGTACACCGACCCCACTAGATTGACCACCACCAAGGGGATCGCCCGAATCCCCCTCTGCACCTGATGGACTCTGAGAGCTACTCCCGACTACACACCACTCCACTCCACCCAGCAGGAACTCCTGCAATAGGACTCCATGGACTGAGTGACTTCTTTGCTCGACTCACCCCCTCCCCCACCCAATGTCCCACCCCCGGGTTTAGTTGGCTAACATTGTACTTACGTAACCTAGTTGCGTTCCCTTCCTCATCCCCATCCCTCTTATGTTAGTCCCTCACTCGGGCACTTTGTATTTCCCTTATGGCCTTGTCATTCTTGCTCCTAACATTTTCTAATTTTCATTTTCTAACCTGTTCTATTTAGTGAGATTTCCTTGTATGTGATTATAAGACAAGGGGCTTTTTCTCCCAGGCCAATTGGTATGGGGTGGAGGGGAAAGCCCCATACCGTATGGTATATGGAAACACTTCTATAGACAAAGAGGGGTTCTAGGGTTACTATCCTCTAGTCTTGTCTGAGAAGGTAGCTCCCAGAAGGGTGCGCCATAGGTCTCTCTTGAAGCCACTGGCTCCATTATGCTCACTGCCTACCTGCAATATCAGACTGGCTCCCCAGCTCTCCTTTATGTTAATGGCAACCCCCATAATTCAACAGATATGCTTTGCTTAGCATATTCACCTGCTGATTTTGGAGTGTCCCTGGTCTTCACACTTCATGCTTCTAAAGAATAGTTTTTGGAGCCAGTTTGCTCTGCTTCTTTAACAAATATTGTGCACATGCAGGAGCAGGGATGTAGGAAAACTTTTTTCAAGAGGTGTCCTTGAAATACTTGAGCACCCTTTCCCACTCCTTGATATTTTTATGTCCTTAACCTGTTTACTTTGGTCCACTTTATGCTGGACAGATGTTTAAGTTGCTTCCTTTCATTCTTTTGTAAGGAGGGATGATGGGTATTTTGTAATACAGAATGCTTGCTCTCCCTTTTGTAAAAAGCTTAATAGCTACAAAGAGTCCCTGTTTCCAGATATGCTTCCATCTGAAAAACTGATTTTTCTGAGTACTAGGCACTTTCACTGATGTGTCTGCAGAACACCTCTTCTTGTCCTGCCAAAGATCTGTAGCTGCTACTCTAAGTATTATGGCTAAAGAAAAGCACAAGTCACCAGTATGTGATACTGTGGGCTTCACAGCTTACTGTGACCTACTGGGATTCATGAGGTGTATCTGTTTTAGCATCTGTTTTCTTTAGAGCCTTTCATACAAAGCCACAGAGTTGCTCAGATAAACTCTCAGGGAGGGGGCTATGGGTGGTCTGGAGCAATGGTTGGAGCTAAATTAGTCCTCCCCCTCCTTCCTCTGGACCCCAACTTTCAGGGACAAAGAACAAGCCATAGATGTACACAAGAAACACAGATGTGAAAGGTAGTAGACAGTTGAGGCCAAAAGCATAACTGAGCAGTTGTACAGCCCAGATGGCAACAGTGCACAAGACAGAACATAGGGCTAGGTCACCTCTGGTGGCACTGCTGGACAGGCATTAGCAGCAACTGCTGCTTTTGCACCCTTTCCCCCCACCATGTGGTGCCCTTCTCACCCTTCCCTCCCTAGGTTATGCTACTGGTTGAGGCTAGGCAAGGACAAGATCATGGTGGGAGCAGAATCCAAGCAGGCAGGACTAAGGGCAGGAACTGGCCGTCAGGACTGCTAATAGTCTTTTGAAGAGTCACTTAGCAGATGTTTACCAGTTTCCTGCAGGGCATGCCTGGTCTAGTTGCATCAAACTGGAGGTGTGGTTATACCAATACAACTGGCTCAAGGACACCTGCTCATTATATACACTTGTCTTCTATGTTACTTAACTTGATTCATGCAAATGACTGTAGTTGGTAATTACTTCAAACAATTTCCCCCATTGTTTTAATTCTAGTTTTCACTTCTCCTTTAAACACTGTTGATACATTCCTAAATAGTAAGTAACTATTTTTAGACCTTTCTATTAGCTTCCCAGCACTACAGCTCTTATGCTGCTCCCTCTCAGGTACTACTCCGTCTTTCAAGTAATGCTCTTTTTTATGACTTCCCATTCTTAACTTCATTCCACCTCTTCATAAACCAGTGCCTTGTTCCTACTCCAAAGAACACTGCTGTTCTGCAGAACACTTTTTTCCTCCCACTTGCTGCCATTCATCTCCATTCTGCCACTGTCCATTGACAGTCTATTTCCAAGCTGGGATATTGAATGTCCTAAGAAGTTAACTTAAAAGGACAATTTGAGAGGAATGCGACCTCTGAATACTTTGTGCAATATATATATACAAAATACAAGCACAGACATTTTCCCAGTAATTTCCCTTTGTTTTGTGTTCCCACTCCTCATATAAAGGCAAAGTCTGTGTACTTGTAAGTGTAAACCAGTGGTTCGCTACCTCATCTGACTCCAGGCATCCCTCATTTGACTCAAGGCACTCCTCCATAACTTTTGTGAATTGAGTGACACCCAGTTTCAAAAACTAATTTATATGTTATAGTGCTTACCTCCTTGCAGAGGGTCCCAGGCGGGGTGGGGATTTGGCCAGGCAGAAACAAGTTTGAGCCTGTCATCCCTTACCTCAAGACACTCTTCAAAGGATTTGGCGGTGCCCTTGGGTTTGGCATCACTCTAGTGCAGGGACTTTGTGTTACATTTTATGTGAAATGTATCATACACACTTAGGGTGCCATATAAATAGTACATTACAGAGATTATGTTAACTATAAGATAAAGCTATTTTAACCATTAAAAAATCAGTTTCCCTGGTATGTAATCTCTGTCTAAGAGTCAACAGATCACTTTATTTGGTAACTCTCCTGGTTAGAGGTTGCTGTTTTTGTAAGAAGGGCAAATAGGAGATGGGAGAAAAGATATAAGGTACAATATGCCCATACTTTCTCCAAATTATAAAATGTACAAATGAACAAAATGATTTGGCATCTCCAGATTCAATCTATTATTGTTAGAAGTGGGAATGATGTATATGATGATAAAAACAAAAACACATTCACATTTAACACAATGTGACCATTTAACTGATTAGCCTGATTTTTCTTCTGTTTTTTTTCCTGTGACAAATACCTGCTACTAAATAAGAGGACTCCCCATAAAGCCTCATGTTACCTCTCTCTGTGGGCCCAAACGCTTTCTCTCACAATATCGTGCATGTCCGCTGTTATGAATCAGTAGGTCTGACTGGGTCAAGAACTGAGCATTCAGCCTTGAATGGTTTTGAATAGAGTTCAGGCCAAGTAGCTTGAACTGCATGAATGAGAAGTATGATTGAGCAAAACACAACGAACAGAATGTCTGAAAAGGAGTCGTTCCCAATCAGGCGTAACCTAGGAATCATTCTCATTGCTGCATCAGTTCTGATCTGATTTTGTTGTTAGGCATTTATAGAACTAGGAAGAAACTGGGGTTGGAAGGAAAAATAGATTGAATGTACTCTGTGCCTTTCTGATGCTGGTGCACAAAACGCATTCTCCTGAATGCCCGCCCCCCCCATGACCCACTCTTCATTTAACAACCTTCTATTACCCTAGCAATACTTGATTAGTTTTTTTGTCTTTTGAGTGGGTTTCATCTGGTCCAAGCCTTTATGTTTAGTGGAACTATCTGAGAGTATACCCAAGGGAGTCACCAGTCAGTTTTTGAAGCAGGGATTGTTGTTGCTTTGTTTGTTTTTAATTCAAATACCCACCAAGTTGTTGAATGCCATGTGCATCAAAGGTTATTAAACTGGAGTTTTATGTTGTGAAGAATTATTTCTGATTTACCTACTCTGTACCATAGATACTAAAGGTAAAGAGACTGCTGCCATGAAAGCTGACCTCTTGAGGGCCCGCAATGTGAAGAGGTATATTAATCAGCTGACTGTGGCAAAAAAGAAATGTGAAAAGAGAATAAGACTTCTTGGGGGTCCTGCTTATGACCAGCAGGACGATGGTACACCTGACGAGGGGGATGGCCCTCCAAGCCAGAAGGTAAGAATCGTATATAGTCGGAATGAAATTTTGAAATGTCTTGGCATTTTGCTTCGTTATCTATCCATTTCAAGCTCATGAGATAATTTTAATAATTGCTACTTGGCTGTGCAACAGAATTTCAGGGAAGCCATTTTCACTGAAGATGGTAAAATCTTTGTAATTGCGATTGTAGCAAAATATATAGGTAAAGCCTGAAGTAAGAGAGTTTTTTCCCTTTTCCCTTAAAATATGTTTATAGAAAAGCATCATGGGTAATGGCAGTCCAGTCTTTTTCTATTTCAAAGCCAGGAAAGTAGAGGCATAGCAAAATATGTTAATGCCCTGGGCAGAGGCATGGGGAAATGGAAGGCAATTTCATGCTGACCACCAGAGAGCAGGTGGCAAAGGGGACTCTTACTTGTGCCTGCTCTCTGCACTTGTGTCTGTAGGTGCTGACTCCGTGCTCCGTGGCTCAGGCACCCACTGAAAAATATTAGCAAGTGCTTAGCATCCATGAGCCATGGCCATTTTGGTTTTACATGTTAGAACTCTGGCTCCTTGCAGACATTTAAAAAACAAAACAAACAACCCACACTTCACCAGGAGAAGCAGCATGTTACTTCAACCTGGCTCTGCAGCATCTGTAAAGATTGGGCACTTCAGCGGGGCTTTTTGGTGCATTAAGCTAAAGCTAATTCAGTCAGTTATTAGATAAAAGTGCCAATAAAGCCCCAGTAAAGTGCCTGATCTTTGCAGACATTGGGTGAGCTGGGTTCAAGTAACACACTGCCTCTTCTGAGCATGTGTGGGGCTTGGCACGAGAGCACACAGACACACACACGTTTAGGTTCATGCACACCTATTACCAGTTTAAGCCCATACACAGTACAGGTACACACACACCCCACCCCACTGGCAAAACCTGAAGTCAGCGCCTATATATGTGGCAGCTGCTACAGCTCGTGCGTAGCTGAAGAGCATGCTTACTACACACTGGCACAGCAGCCCAGGTGACATGGAATCCATGAGATCACTCTTGGTGCCCCCTTCACACCCACTTGTAATACACTTCTTGGTGCAGGGCTGTACCTCCCATGGCAAAGCCCAACATGCCCCTGTCCCCCACGGATATAGGGCTTAGGGCTGTTGTGCCTGCTCAGCTCCCAGTGGCTGGGCTATGTAGGGCTGTCCCTGCCATGGAAAAGACTCCTGGGTGGGAATGGGCCATATAGGTGTCCCCTCTAAGTCAGCAGTCCAGGATGAATACCCCCCTCATTCCACCCTAATTACACTACTGTTGTGGTGGAACAGATCCTGCAGACAGCTGTGTACGTGACCAATTCCATTTTTCTTCACTTGTCTTTCCTTAAACAAAACTAGTATTAGCTTCTCACTCACACCTTTCTTAAAAGGAAACTGGTTGTTCTAGAAGCCCTTCAGGTACTAAGTTGTTTACAGAACAGCCAGTGGAAGAAAAATTGACTTTTTTTTGCTTCTTATAATGTGTGAAGCAGTTTTAAGGACAGACATTTATTGATAGTGTTTAGACTGCTTGTTTTATTTAAGCATATTGCAGAGATCTGAATTCTTTTAATAGACTTAGGGAATATACTCTATTCATTAAGTGAAGAGTGAATTAATTAATAGCCTAGTCTTGTGCGGTTGTCATAGCCATACAATACAGACAACTTTCTCTTTTGCAGTAGAGAGAGAGTAATATCATTTCCTGTAAATGTCTGCATTGTAATGCATGCTTTGCTTACAGCATGGGTTTTCAACCTTTTTTTAAACAAATGCACCCCTTCTCTCTCAAAGTTCCAGCTCATGTACCCCTTTATATTTTCTCTTGTTTTTAAGGGGCGGGGGAGGAAATTGAGGCCCCTGCGGTGAGGGAGGGAGTGGTGTTGGGGCTAAGGCAGCTCGACTGAGGCAGGACAGAGCCACGAGCATCTCATCCTGGGGGTTCAGGGAGGGGGTGGCAGCTTCCGTTGGTGCACGCACCTTGGAAGGGCATGGGGCGTGTGCCTCTGGATCTGCGTGTGGAGCAAGGGTGGGCTGGCCCAGCGGTGGGGGAGGGAGTGGGGCTGGGGCACACGGGTAGGGGCTGCCCACCTGGGGCAGGGCACAGGACTGAGCCACATTGGGGGCAGCTCCTGTAGCTATGTGCACCCCTGGGAGGACACGGGGGCATGTGCGCCCAGAGCTGCGCGTGGGAGGGCAGGCTGCCGCTGTGGGCTGGGGCTGGCACGGAGCTGTTCCGAGTGGGGGCTGGGCCACACTGTGTTCAGGACAAGAAGCAACAGCACTGGGAGGCGGGGTTGGAGGAGCTACAGCGAATTCTGGTGCTGCTGCAGCCCCCCGTAACCCCTTCCCAGAGCTGCAACCTGCCGCGAGTGCAGCCTGGCCCAGCCCCCACTAGGAAGACCCTGGCACAGCCACAGCCCCAGCCCACAGAGGCAGTCTGCCTCGCCCCACACAGATCTGGGGGCACATGCCCCCCATGCCCTCCTGGGGTGCGAACAGCGGTGGGAGCCACCACCCCTTCTCCCTCGATGAGTCACTTGTGCTTCTGTCCGGTGCTCTGCCTCGGCTCCTGCTGATGCACATGCCCCTGAGAGGGCATGGGGGCATGTGCCCCTGGATCTGTGTGTTGGGTGGGGTGGGCTGCAGCTACGGGCTGGAGCTAGTACAAGGCTGTTCAGGGTGGGAGCTGGGCTGTGCTGCACTGGGGCGGGCGCTGGCAGCACTGGGAGGGGGCTATGGGGGTGTGGCTGGGAGGGAGTGAATTTTGGTGTGGCTGCAGCCCTTCCTGTAGCCCCCTCCCAGTGCCACCACCACCTGCCCGGAGCACAGCCTGGCCCAGCCCCTGCTGAGAAGAGCCCGGCACAGCCCCAGCCTCAGGCTGCAGAGGCCGTCTACCCTGCCCCGTGCAGATCTGGGGGTGCATGCTCCTGTGCTCTTCCGGGATGCATGCAGAAGTGGGAGCCACTCCTCACACCGCTCAGTCCAGCACCTCACCCCAGCTGGGCAGCCCCTGCCCCTGCCTGTGCCCCACTTCCTCCTCCACTGCTGTGGCCTCCATCTGCCCCCACCCCATACCTGCCCTCACCACACATTTACCAGCCACACCTGGCTGCTCTCCTGGCTGCCTGCGTGCTGCACTGCAGCTGTGCGCACGCATGCGGCATTTATCAGCCACATTATGTCTACATACCCCTTAGGACCTTTTTAAGTACCCTTAGGGGTATGCATACCCCCAGTTGACAACCACTGGCTTACCGAGTTGATTCTCAAAGTAGTCAGGTGAGTTGTCCCTGTTCTCAGAACACACATTTTAAGGTCTGAAATGGCTAAAATCCAAAATTAGCTGAATTTCTTTCACAGCAAAAGCAGTGCTGGTCATAAATTAGCTGGGTTTTACTCAGAGAGCAGTATAAATATTTCAGGGGCTTTAAAGACTTCTGTTTGTTTTGTTTATTTTAGATACAGTTGTATCTTACCTTATTGCCTTGTCCTGAATCAGATTGCCCTAGAATAGAGGTCACTGAATGTGTTCATGATAAATGTCTAGTAGAACTGCCTATGTACTATAGTTAGCTGTTAAACAGACCCTTATGCAATACTGGGGGTTATATTTTTGCCTCAATGAGGAAAAAATTCAATTTGAATGTGTAAAACTTTAGTGCAGATTCTAACTAATGCCAGTGTATTTTTAACTTTATTAATGAATCCAGCTTACCAAATAGCAGGTTTGACATTTAAATATGCATCCAATTCCCTAAAATATGCATAAAGACAGATATTTATCATCCATCAACAGTGCTCCCTTAATCCAAGTCTATGTCCACAGGAGTTTTGTTCTTTTCTTTCCTTCCTTTCAGTCTCTGACTGTTCCTTTATATTTCCATCAGTGTTAATCTTTTATGTTTCTTTATTTCTATGTAATAATTCACCCCCCTTTTTTTCTCTAGAGATAATATAGATCTCACTGTCTTCTCATCTCTGCTTTTCAATTTTGAATTTATTCCAAATTTGGTCTCAAGTGTTAGCTCAGAGCATGTACTTTCCTTCAGTATTCAAAAAAGTTTCTCGTATTCTCTGGTTTAGAGGCAGGAGATGATTTTTTTTTTTTTTTTTTTTTTAAAAAAAATTCAAAAATTTTTTACAGACTTCCCAAAATTTTTTTTTTTTTTTAAAAAAAATTCAAAAATTTTTTACAGACTTCCCAAAATTTTTTTTTTTTTTTAAAAAAAATTCAAAAATTTTTTACAGACTTCCCAAAATTTTTTTTTTTTTTTAAAAAAAATTCAAAAATTTTTTACAGACTTCCCAAAATTTTTTTTTTTTTTTAAAAAAAATTCAAAAATTTTTTACAGACTTCCCAAAATTTTTTTTTTTTTTTAAAAAAAATTCAAAAATTTTTTACAGACTTCCCAAAATTTTTTTTTTTTTTTAAAGCAAATTCCAAAAATTTTCAGCAGACTTCCAAGTATCTTTGTTCCTTCTCCCCTGCAAAACATTGACTTAATAGGGCAACTTTTCCATTACTAAAAGTTTCCAAACTTTTTGAAACCAGTCAGTGATTTTAGGGTGTCACATTTTTTCCAGGCTTTTGCTGTTGTAATTCTTGCAGCCACTAAAAGATGAGTGATCAGTTCCTTATGACTCTTATACGTCACAGTGTTCTCAGGAAGGTTCGATAGGAACACTAGGGGGTTATCTGATAAGTAGCACCCTGTTATTTTCCTCACTATATCTCCCACTTTCTTCCAGAACTTGAATTCTGGGACATGTCCATCATATGTGGTAGAATCCCCCCAACTGGCCACGCTCTCTTCAACGTTTTCCCACTCCTGTACCCTAAATGCATTTAATTTTAAATGGGGTAAGATACCATCAATATAGGTTTTTAAAATAATTTTCTTTTATTGTGCAAATTAAAAAAATCCTTCCATAGAGTTTGGCAAAGCCTTTTGCTTACCAGGGGTGTCATATTTATCATACTCGTTGGCTTGGGG